TGCGCTGCTTTCATGCAAAGTGGCGTCCTGATGTACTGCACGGTGACAGCGTTCATCACTCAGACAATCATCGTCGGAAATCAAACGAAAATCATTCGTGCGTTACCCTGTGCTGTGTATAAAAATTTAATTCCCATTCATACCAGTCCGACAAACGAAATCGTCCTCGCTACGCAATTTCTCTCTGGATTTATCGTGAATTCGAGCGCCGTTGGCGCTATTAGCATCGGTGCCGTGTTCGCGGCTCACGCGTGTGGCCAATTGACCATCTTGATGACGTGGATCAAGGAATTTGTGAATCGATCGAAAGATCGGAAGAACAACGATGGATTTAACGATATAGGTGAGATCGTCGAATATCATCTCAAGGTGCTGAGGTAAGATACATTTCTGGATCTTTCAAGAGGGGATTTCGGTACGGATATCTTCATGTGCATATTGACCACAGTTTCATAGGAGGTATCGAGAAAGTGTTGACTCAATTTTGCTTCTTGGAACTGCTGAAAAGCAAACTTGACATATCCATGCTTGGATATTATATTCTTACAGTACGTAAAGACGAAAGATGTAAATGTAGTGTGTCAATGTTATGTGTTTCTGTAACTTGAATATCCGAATTATTCGAGTTTTTACTATGTGATTTCTTGTCTCAATCCAAATAATTTGTATTTCAATACTCCAGCTAGTACAATGAATATATTGAATATATTGAAATCGATTTAACACGTTCACTGTTCAAACCTTGGGCAGTATAAACATGATTTTTTTTAAAAAATTTGATTAGCTTTATTTCGCAATAGTTTTCAAATAAAATTCATTCAACACTGATTGTATCATATATTTTTATACACGCGTAAAACGAGCGTGTTAAATTGCAATTCTTTTGCATTATGATGTTCTACTATGAATTTCACATTTCGAATGATGTAGAGGTAATTGATTTAATAACAACGATATTTTTTTTTCAGGAATGGGACGAACACGACGTCCGAAATCTGACTACATACTTCATGATAATGGTGTCGATGGGTTTCAATATTTTCACAGTGTGTTACATTGGTGATATATTAACAGAACAGGTGACAGATGAAACAATCTGAAAAAATTAAATATAATTAATTCGATGTTCAACTAACATTCATCGTGTCAAACAGTGCAAAAAGATTGGCGACGTGGTGTATGCGACAAACTGGTATTATCTATCCAACAAAGACATGCTTAACTTGATTTTGATCATTTCAAGATCAAATTCTGTCATCAAGATTACTGCCGGGAAAATGACTCACATGTATATAAACACATTCGGCGATGTAAGGTCATATACTTGCACATTTTTAAGAAGAATATCCTACCTTTCTGGAAACTATTGTCATTGCAGGTGATGAAAACTACATTCGCTTACCTTAATCTATTGCGACAAGTGACATGACAACATGCACAGCTATTAAAAACCTGCGCGTGAAATCGATTAAGACATAAAGGTTTGCACAAATATATCGTATATTACTCTTGTACCAGCATTCTTAAATTGTACTTCAAACCAAAATTGTTAATGTTGCAATATATGAGTGTGGAAATTATAAAGTTACGAAATACTAATTACACACCAACGTGAGAGTTATACAATATTTTGTTGGAGTTCGTTGGTACACACTCTGGAAATCTATTTAGGTAAATTTATTCTATTCAAATAACTAAAATATTTGAACAAGTGTTTCTATACACACAAGAGGATGAACTAATAATCCTCTCCATCTAAGAAACATCATTTCATCTGAACTTTTCAAAATCAATTTATGTATGGCCTGGTTTTTCTTCAATCGAAAAAATCGTTTCGTTTATTTTGAACAGCTTAATCTTTAATACAATCGTCTCTAGCACTTTTTGAATTACAAACAGAACAGAACTACAAAATTCATCTACGCTCGATATTTAAGAAATTCTCACAGCGAGGCTATTCGCACTTCAACATTCGCTGAGAGTTTCACAAATCTCCCCACATTTCGAATGAATCTGTCGAACGACACGAACGGACTTCACTTTACGTGACAGCATCCTCTAAACGTTTGAGTGTAGTCGCGACAACTTGCGAAGACCGACTAGACTAAATCGATCGGTTTGCAGCTTGGAAAAGTTTTGCGCAAGCGTTACGCAACATATGATGAGCACACTCCTCTCCCATGCGAAATATTCAATTCAGTCGTTTCCACAACTTTGGCGGACGCGATGACGAACAACTCGGTAACAACAGAAAAAACTCTTGATAGCTCGAGCGATTACAGTTTGCAGTTAAATCGATGGTTATTAAAACCAATAGGTGCCTGGCCAGCGTCCACATCAACATCGAGATGCGATAGGATCATTTCGTTTGTCTTAGTCAGTCTCTGTTACGGCCTCATATTGTTCACCGTGATCCCCTGTATAGTCCACCTTGTTCTCGAAGATGAAAGTACCTATATAAAGCTGAAGACGTTCGGCCCTTTCAGTCACTGGGTTGTCGGATTCATCAATTACACCAACTTACTGCTACGAAGGAAAGATATTCATTATTGTATCAGTCATATCCAGACTGATTGGAAAGCAGTAACGAGGCCAGAAGATTTACGTGTGATGATGAAATACGCGAAAATCGGGCGTTTGGTCGCTACTTTTTGCGCTGCTTTCATGCAATGCGGCGTCTTGGTGTATTGCATGGTGACAGTGTCCACCACCCAGACCATCACCATCGGAAACCAAACAAAAGTCATTCATATGTTACCCTGTGCCGTGTATAAAAATTTAATTCCCATTCACACTAGTCCAACGTACGAAATAGTACTCGCTGTACAACTTCTGTCCGGCTTGATCGTGAATTCGTGCGCTGTTGGCGCTGTTAGCATCGGTGCCGTGTTCGCTGCTCACGCGTGCGGCCAATTGACCATCTTGATGACGTGGATCAAGGAATTTGTGAATAGACCTAAAGATGAGAAGAACAACGTTGGCCTCAACGAAATAGGTGAGATCGTCGAGTATCATCTCAACGTGCTGAGGTAAGCTTCGTCCCTGAATTTTTCGGAGAATACTGATGCGAGTATTTTCATGTGCATGTTGACTGCAGTTTCATAGCAGGTATCGAGAATGTAATGACCGAGTTCTGCTTCATCGAACTGCAGAAAAGCAAACTTGAAATATCCATGCTTGGATATTACATTATCACAGTACGTAAAGACGGAGGATGTAAATGTTTTGTGTCAGTGTTATCCATTTCTATGTTTCTTTAATTGTCACGAAACTTACGAAGTTGGGACTTTAAGCCCAAATAATTTGTATCTCAATACTCTGCCATAACTGAAATACCTTTTCAACTTAAAATTTTCGATTTGAAAGTACTTTCTACTTCGTCCTTCTTTGAATTCCATAATCCAAATAATGTAAAGAAAGTTGATTCGACTGACATTTCTTTCCTTTTCTTTTTTTCCAGGACTGGGCCAACGATGATGTTCAAGGCGCAATCACGTATTTCATTATAATGGTGTCCCTGAGTTTCAATATCTTCATACTGTGTTATATCGGTGACATAGTAACAGAACAGGTAACGGAGGAAATGATCTGATCGTTTAAAGATTTTTCTAATTTAATTCAACGTGCAACCAACATTCGTCAACTAAATTTCAAACAGTGCAAAAAAATCGGCGACGTGGTATATGCGACAAACTGGTATTATCTATCCAACAAAGACATGCTTAACTTGATTTTGATCATCTCAAGATCAAATTCTGTCATCAGGATTACTGCTGGCAAAATGACCCACATGTCCATAAACACATTCGGCGATGTAAGTCATATACTTACATACTTATACTATATATATACTAGAATATGCTATCTTTAGGGAAACCATAACCATTCCAGGTAATGAAACTGACGTTTGCGTACTTTAACCTATTGCGGCAAGTATGACAATCTGCACTACTGCTAGAACCTGCATATAAAATTGTAAGACTTAGGGCATAAAGATTTGCACAAATATATCAAATATCATTTTTATACCAATATCCTCAAATTGTACTTCAAAGTGTAGTTCAAACTGATCATGATTCAATATGTTACTGTGAAAATTATGAAATTACAAAATACTAATTACCATAATTAATTATCGTGTTTTATTGCAGTTCGTTGGCATATAAAAATTAACTGACAATGAGATATATTTACTATCATTTGAGTATCTTTTTCCTTTTCAACTAGTATTTCTTCAATCATTTCGATCATTTTTTCAATCATTATGATTCATGAAGAAAATCATAACATCATAGATAAAATCGAAATATATCTCATATCCAATATTTTGAAATTGTAGAAATGTATCGAAAGCTGATAGCGAACCCTTCAAATATAAACCATCTTTGATGCTAATGAATAAAGTAACAATCTTTGATCACGATCTTTAACATGTAAAAATCTTGCAATGATCTTTCGATGATAAAAATATTGGAAATAAAACACACATTTATCAAAAAGCATATCTCGAAGACGCATTTCTAAAGTTTAATTTCACAAAGGTCGTAAAAATTTAATCCTGTATCAACTTCAACGTGCCACTTGATTTGCTATAAGAAGCAATAAACCACCCAAGGGATTATAATGCAATTACAGTACGTGCACATTGTGTGTTCCCACGTGCAAAGCTGCAACAAGTAGTAGAATTATCTTATCATTAGATTAGAGATAAGACTATAGGTTGTAGTTAACATTAAGATATAGACTAAATCGATGATAAGCTTTGCACGTATTCGATCATAAGAAGCTTACAAACATAGACAACAGTATGATCGCTTGCATATGATTTATCCTACAAGACAATACTAACCAAATAATTTCCAAGTTTATATACCTTCGTAATAAACTAAACTCAACTAATTAGACGAATCCATCCATGAACAAGTATATAAAACACTCCGAGTTGAGCAAAGCATACTGCGTTATACACCTCTCCATTCAAGTAATGATTTCATTCTACGATGATGAATCAACCTATAATCAACAAAAAGATCAATAGTAACTATAGTCTTTTAAATTAGCTTCTAAAGTCAATCTATGCATGCCTGCCTATCGTCTTCCTATGCTACGAGGCTCGAAAAGATCGTGTCGTTTTAAATATCATTTGCTATAGTTCCTAAACGCTAAGCATACCGACACTTTATATACATACCAGTCAAATGACTGATTATGAAATAGAGATCTGTCTACAATAGGAACACACGTAATTGTCAATTTAATATAGAGAACAATGTATAAAATAGTGACACTCTAGAATTCCCTTTCGTGATGGTATTAAATATCAAACGAGGATCTTGCACATGTTACCTCGTGCAGTATACAGGAAACTGTTAATCGTCGAAGAAATTCCAACGAACGAACTCATGCTCCCATTGCAATTTTCGGCCTCTATTATTACTCTAGTACAGCCAGCATTTTCAGCCTTGCAGCTGATTTACCGGTTAACGCACGTGGTCAGCTGAACGCAGTTACGATATGGATCACTGCGTTCATTGAAGAAGAGGAAAACAGATGGTTTTAAGGAAATGGGAATTATTGAGGAACGACGCTTAAAGATACAGACAAGGTATTTTCTATGTTCTCTTTTTGGGAGAGAACACTATAACTATAGATTGTGATAACTATAGAAGTGTTAATTGTAATTTTATAAATCATGTCGAGAATGAGCTGCATAAAATACAATATCTTTTATATATTCTCCTTGAATATACATATATATATAATATTATATATTATATATATAATAT